TCTCTTTATAATGACTACTTCTCATTCTTTCCTTGCATTACTAATATATGTAGATGACATTGTGCTTGCTAGTGATTTAGAGTCTGCTATTTTAGACTTTAAATTGTTTCTCGCGATAAGTTCAAGTTCGGAGATCTTGGTCCACTTAAATACTTCCTTAGCATTGAAGTGGCTAGGTCCGTTGTTAGCTTTGCTATTTATGAACGTAAATACACTCTGGAATTATTGGTCGAATATGGCTTCTTTGATTCTAAGCCGGTTTCGACACCAATACATCCTAAGCATTGCTTGGTTTCGACTCAAAAGATCTTTTACCCGATCCAACAATATACATATAATTGATAGGCAAGTCTGTTTTATCTTACTTTTAGTCGACTTGATATTTGCTTTGTTATGCATGTTCTTGCCCAATTCATGCACCAACCAGCTTTGTCACACTTGCGAGGAGCCCATAGGGTTCTTCGATATTTGAAAAATGCCCATAGGCGGGGACTCCTATTTCCTCATACTTCGATCTTCACCTCGAGCTTTTCGGATAGTGATTAAGTCTGGTTGTCTAGATACTAGGAGATCTTTGTCAAGTTCTTATGTTTTTTTGGGTAGCTCATTTTTCAGTTGGAAATCCAAAAACAATCTCTTGTTGCCGAAGCAGTATTGAGGCCGAGTATAAGGCCATGGCCGCTGCTACTTGTGACATCTTATGGCTTATGTTCTTGCTATAGGATTCGATATACCACATACCTAGGTTGTCCTTCTTTTTGTGACAACTAGTCCAGCCTTCATTTGAGTAAGAATCCTATTTATCATGAGAGAACAAAGCATATTAAAGTGGATTGCCACTTCTTATAGGACAAGATCGTCGCTGGCCTTATTCGGTCTTATCACGTATCGACTCAAGTTCAACTTACGGATCTCTTCACTAAGGCTTTGCGACTCGGTGTCTTCGATTTGTTGCTTGCCAAGATAAGTATGAGCAACATTCATACATTCATACTTAGCATGAGAGGGAGTATTAGAATCCATGAGATTATGAATGTAATTAGGTGGATTAGTTTTGGTTAAGTTGGTTAACGGGTTAGTTATGGTTAGTTAGGAGGTTAGTAAAGTTGTTATTTTGGGTTGTTAGTTTAGGTATAAATGTAATGTTACAAGGCTTTTCATAGATGAAAAATTTGAAGCATTTCAATCATTTTTTCCCTCTCTCATTTCCCTCTCGGTTAATCTTTCTTTGCATCATTTTTCAACCGGAACCTTCAACGAGTAATCAAGTCTCGGATATTAATGAGCTTGATCTTGTGGGTCGGATTTAGCTTTCACATGACTTGAGTGGTTGTAAATATTTCATTTTCATCATCAACATCGAGAAGACAAGGAATCATGTTCGGATTTTAGCGGGCTTAATTGAATTCTAATGGGTTCAACTCGTTTGAATTTGATTCCAAATTAGTATTGGATAGTTGCACTTAGCGTTTTTAATTTTTGCTGAGTTTTCTAAATAATATAGGGATTTATAATATCTCAACTACGAGAGCACTAACGTACACCAATGCTCGCATGATCATTGTCGGCGCCAGCATCCCAAGCTAAAGAGTGGTGGGGGTTGAGAGCGACCATCATTGAGAAGAAACTTTCGCTTGGATATCCGAGCCAATTGCATCCGAATATATAGTTGCTTGACTCTTTCATGTTAAATATCGTGAATCCCGATAATTTATGTGAAAGTAAATGTATTTAAGAGCGAGTGAAGGACTCTAGGCATCCGAATTCATAAGAAGGCCGATTTGACTATTCAATAAATACTTTCAATTTTTGGAGGATTAGAAAAAATAGTTTGCTCGCTTGTAACATGAATTTCAAAAATAAAAGTCCATATAATTGTACTTTTCATGGTTGGTTTTTCCCAAGCTAAGGGGATCTTTTTCGGTATTTGATTTTTCCATGAAAGACCTTTCAAGTAAGTTATAGGGATAATTTCGTAATAACCTATGACAAATGATAAATTTATAATAATTTGAACAATATTTTTTTTTATGTGGAACCTAACATTTGAAAACAGAATAAAAATACGAGTGTTTAATATTTTGAAATTAAATTAAAATTTATGAAGTCTAAAGCGAGATGTTACCGTGTTCAAAACAGAGAGTGTTTAACATAATTTATTATAATAATAATTGCCAAAAAAATTATTCAACATTACATTATTATGAACCTTTTTATTTTAAAAAGTTTTTTTTTCAATTATATGTGATATGATTATAATAACCTATAAAATTTTTGTAAGTTATTTTTTTTAATACATCCCGCCTTTCTTTTTAATACTATTAGTTCAAAAAGAGTAAAAATAATGTAATACAATAATAACAAATAACCTATAAAAAATTAACTAAGCATTCAATTTAATATTTTGATGAATTTTGATGTAATTTAATTATTTTTATACTTTAATACTTTATGCTTTGTATCAACTTGTTTTTAAGCCATTTTTTTTTCTTTTTAGTTTTGATAATCAAAATAAAGTACCAAAATACAGTCTTATGTAGTTTAGAAGTTTATATAGTTTAGGAGTAAGTTAAGTAGATTATTTATACTATTTAAGGCTTTATGTAGTGTATAAACAAAAAAAATAATGACAAAACATGATTAACCTATGTTTTTTAGGATTATTATTTCTAAGAAAAAGCCTACTCTTTAGGAATTAATAACTCACCCACATAAGGCTTTTAATATAATTAATTTGTTAGGATTTGAATCTGTAATCTCTTATTACAAAAGATCCACTAGACCGTAACCTCTTTGATTATTTCATCTTTTACTTAATTAAAGATTTTTCTCTATATCAAATACGCTTTCTTCTTTATAGTTTAGGTTTCTTGATTTGTTTTATGCTATTGACTCCTTTTTCGGTGTGTGGGGCTATAATCTTTTGGCAGAAAATTGACAGGTTTTGAGAGAATCGAAGGTTTGGCTATAGTAAGAGCAGCTACTTACGGAGCAGTTCGGCCACAAAACTCTTCATCTTAAAAGTTACATTCCTAGAGGAGGTACAGAAATAAATATGCTTTTCATCAGTCAAGTTTCAATACTTTTTTTTTTTTTTTACGTTAACTGTGGGATTTGATTTCGAAACTTCACCATCCTTCTCGAGCTAGAAGCCAATTGGTCCTTTGAAAAACTGTTTCTTTTCTGAAATATCTCTTAACGACATAAATTTGTCCTCACCACTATCATTTCTTTAGAGTGGCAAAAAAAAAAAAAGCACTCTTGGCCCCATTTCGCCTGTTTTACACAGAAGTGGAAACAGCTTCATCTATGGATTTTTTTTTCCTGGTACATAATTGATTTTAATTTGGTCATTGATTACCTTATTTTTAAACCGATTACCGAAACTAATTTATGGTGAGTGCTTAAGCTTTGTAGAGTAAATTATAAATTAGTCCAATTAGCCTCTTGACTAGTTTTGATCATAGTTAATTTATTTATTTTGCTCTTAAAATATCTTCTTTTTTCATAAATATTTTCATTTATTTATTTATTTATTGAAACAAAGAAAAATGAAAAAGAATGAAATGATTGAGTTAAAAATAAATTTTAAAATACATTGACTAATTAATTAGTTATTAAAACTAGAGGGATTATTTAATTAATTTTAAAAAACTAGAAGAATTAATTTATAATTTGCTTCAGGTTTGCATCTTTCACCATCATAGTTAATTTACTTAATCTTTGTCCTTGGATGGTAGCCAATATTCCTTTCCGTGTTGAACAATTTAAATTTATAAAGAAACTAAAAGATTTAGAGTAGTTGAACACTAAGTAAATAATATAAATAGTATCTTGATTCTTTTGTTTTTTTTAATCCGGTTTTTTTTTTTGCCGCTGTACTGACCAACAATCAAGGCCTAGCTCTTGGGCACGCACACTTCAGGGCTTGGCTGCCTAGCCTGGCCACCTTCTTCTTTTTATATATATATATATATATATATATATATATATATATATATATATATATATATATATATATAACTCATGATTAATAAATATATTTTTAGGTTACAATGACTTTTTGAAACATTTTTAATTTTTAATTTTATTGTAAATTTATAATGGCTGATAATTTTTTGATATAATTTTATTTGTTAATAAATTTAGTTTTTTAATATATGAATTTTGGGATAAAATTTTACAATGTCAATGTTTTATTTTTTAAAATATATTATTATAATTGATACAATAAATTATTTTTATATTTTTAAATGAGTATTTTATTTTAATATATATATATATATATATATATATATATATATATATATAGAGAGAGAGAGAGAGAGAGAGAGAGAGAGAGAGAGAGAGAGTGAGTCAAAAGTATGTTTTAGATAGTTTGACTTAATTTGTTTTTTAAATAATAAGTTAAAAATTCACAAGTTTTATTAGCTTTTTTATATATATTTATTCGAATTTATCGAACCAATTTTGTTGTAGTTTTTATTTTAATCTATTGATTTCAATATATTTCTACAATTTAAGTGGGTTTTTTATATATTTTTCTATAATTTTGTTGTAGTTTGACTCAATTTTTTTTATATATTTCTACAATATATTTTAATATATTGACTTTAATATATTTTTTTTACAATTTATTATATATATTCGATTTATATTAATTACAAAAAATAAAATTTTACATTAATATTATACCATACGAATCATCAATTATATATATATAAATGAATTATCTATCTACAGTATAACACGGGTATCCAACTATTAATAATCGAAAGTAAGAAACTCCTTTTTATTGGTTCGACTTTTGCTCAAACTTCTGAGCATATGCAATTAGCAATTGAATGGATTTGAGGTTGCGTGAGGCAAAAATTTAGACGACCTCTGTGCCACTTTCACGTGGACAAATGACGGCAAGGGTTGGCCCAGAAAACGGTCTTGTCAAAATAAACCTCGTCAAGTTGCTTGCAACATGGTCCAAGGAATGACATTCTAAGTTCATGGAGAAAATGTGGAAGGATAGAATCAAGGCGTTAGGACAAGAGGTTTGTTTCACTATGGGCAATAATGGTGAAGGATCAACTGTGTTTTCCATGGCTCCACCAATGAAGTCTTAGCTTGTTATCTTTTGGAAAAAAAAAAAAAAAACAAGCTATTGTGAAAGTCCCTCAAAATTCGAAAACTTTCTAAATTGCCTTTGAACTTATAAAAACTTCTAAGGTATTTTTACGACACAAATCCATGGATTTTATGTTCCTCACTTGGGGATAGCAATAGACCGAGTATAAAATGAATACTCACTTTATTCGACTCAATAAACATTCATTAAAAATGCTTAATGGATAATGAAGTGGATAAGGATAAAAAAAATGACTTTAGAATATAGTTACTCACTCTTTATTTTATTAATATCTACTAATTTATTTAAAAAAATTTATTAGCATGTAGGAACCTAATTGCATAAAATTTAAAAATTAAAGATCAAAATATTTTTTCTAAAAACTTTGAGGACAAAAAATATAAATAAACAACCAAAATGAAAAAAATATATAAATTTTAAGGATAAAAAACTTTTCTTAAAAACTATAAGGATTAAAATGAATATTTTTCATAAATTAAATTTATTGGGTATTTAATGGATATTAAGAGGATGAATAAACTAATATGGATTGGGTAAAGATTTATATAAGAATTTCTTGAACGAATAATTGAACAAAATATTTTTTTAATAAATAAAATTAAAAATTAAATTAAAAACTCGAATATCTGTTCATTGTAATCCCGATCCCCACTTTATCAAATATCGGTCCTTCCTTTGCAGTGGAGCTGGGGTCGTAATCTACACGTTTATACTATGCTTATGGCTTGAAGTGAGGAAGGGTTGGCCCATGCAAGGAAAAAAGAAAGATATACCTATCCCCGTGGGGTCAGATGTCACCGACAAATAAATCAAAACTCTTTTGATTGTCTTTAAATTAATCTGTGTCAACAGAAAAAGTTTAGATAGACAGTTCAGGCGTCAAAATTTATACAGCAATTACTCAAAATTGGCATTTATTATCCCCCTGAAACTACAGTAAAATTGAGTTTGAATCCTTTTTGTTAAACTTCTGTGATGCCATCTCATAAAAAAACTAAACATCTCAGAAAATAAAATTCCAAAAGTGGGTGCTTACCAGATATCCTTTCATTAGTAAATTAACGATGAAGGATAAAATTGAACTGTTTTGAAAAATTTTAAGGTTGATACACATGGCCCATCCTTTTCTATGAAAAATGGTACTCTCTGAACTCCACATGAAATGTCACTTTCTGCTAGCTGTTTCTTCTGAATATAATTCTAATCTTTAATCTGTTTCAGGTTAACATATGAAGACACCATGCATGTTTCTTCTCTTGTGTCTCCTCCAGGAGAAGAAATAAAACCTAATTAAGGAGAAGTAATGAAAGAAACATGCTCTCATGGCAACTTGTGGTAGCTCCTCCATAAGTTTTCTTCTACTGTCAGCTCTTGTTCCCACTTTGTTTTTTCTCTGCTTATCTCCCTTTAACCAAATTACCAAAATTTCAAGCCATTGGTCTTCTTTTTATACGCCTAACCAGAGTACTGATGGTGAAACCAATCATACTTTTGAAAGCTTTCAATATTTTCCTTCAACTCTGTTGCTAACATCACCAAACACTACTGTCGGAGATGAAGAAATCAGTTGGAAGAACAAAGTAAAGCTTGTTTGATGATTTTTTTACAGCCACACATGCACAGACAACACAAAGAAGTTGTTTCCTTAGTTTCTTCTCCGTTAATTTCTTTTAGAAAATATATTTCTTGATTTGTTCTTTGTGTTATGGACAGGAAAATATTACTCAAAGTCTTCAACCATCGCCGTCACCAGCACCGTCACCATCGCCATCATCATCACAAGGCATTCCAGTAATTACAAGACATGAAAGAGTGAGCCTGATTTACAATGATATCAAATAAGCTTCGCTTTTGTGTGTGTATATATATATATATATATATATATATATATATCTGTGTGTGTGTGTTTCTTGATTTGTTTTATGGTATTGATCTTTCTGTGTGTGTATACTTTGGGCAGAAAAGGACCCTTTTTGATGGAATTGAAGAAGGTTTAGCGAGAGCAAGAGCTGCTATTTACGAAGCAGTTCGGTCACGAAACTCTTCATCACACAAGGAGGGGAGTCACATCCCCAGAGGAGCCATGTACAGAAATCAATATGCTTTTCATCAGTTAAGTTACGATTTCGTTTTCTTCTTCTGTTTTCTTTACCTGTTGACTGATAAAGATGGAACTCGAATCGAAGACCTCGCTGCCATTCTTGTTCTAGGAAGAGTTCCCACTTGAGCAGTCGAGCCAAATACACATTAAAATATCAAAATAATTATCAAGGATGGGTCCACCAATCAAAATAAAGAAAATAGCTAAATCTTATAAAATAAGTTTCCAAGAAATATTAAAAAAATGAAAACTTCTTAACAATTAATATGTTCAAATTATTAACGTATCAAAATTTTGTTTTGATTAGATTTAAAATCACCATCCGATTAAGACAATAAGGATAAATAACATTTTTTTGATTGGATTCTATGTGAGCCCTTAGCATCGTTCTGATGCTAACGTTAGACGATGCACCTACCACAAATTAAATTTGCACCGCATACATATTCCAATCTGCTGGTGGACAATTCATGCCATGAGTTGGGCCAGGATAATATTCTACTAGTCAAAATCAACCACATTACATTATTTACCACAAACATCAACATGTATTAACATTACCAGTTAATATTTATATATATTCAGGAGTTATACAGAGATGGAGAAGAGGTTCAAGGTATGGGTTTACAAGGAAGGAGAGCGGCCACTAGTCCATGGTGGACCCTTAAACCTCATCTACAGCGTTGAAGGTCAGTTTCTTGATGAGATGGAGGGTGGGAAGAGCCATTTTGCTGCTAGTCACCCAGATGAGGCACACACGTTCCTACTCCCCATCAGTGTGACCTATATCATCCATTATCTATACAGGCCCCTTGTCACATACTCTCGTGATCAACTGCAACGTTTGGTCCAAGATTATGCTCGGTGTTGTAGCGCATAAATACTCTTACTGGAATAGAAGTAAAGGAGCTGATCATTTCTTGGTTTCTTGCCATGATTGGGTATCAGAAATTTCCTTTCTTTTTGTTATCTTATGATATAATTAAGTTTGTAAATTAATAGATTCTTGATTTGAAATTTCAGGCACCAGACATTTCAAGAGCCAATCGTCGTCTCTACAAGAACTTCATCAGAGTCCTTTGCAATGCAAATACAACAGAAAGGTTCGATCCTCGGAGAGATGTTTCAATTCCTGAAATCAACATTCCTTTCGGCAGGCTTGGACCCCCGGAAAAGGCCTGCCTGCAAGTAAGCGTTCGATTTTCGCTTTCTTTGCTGGAGGAGCTCATGGTTACATCAGGAAGGTCTTGCTGGAAAATTGGAAAGATAAAGATGATGAGATTCAAGTCCATGAGTATCTTGATAAGAAGAGAGACAACTACTTCAAATTAGTGGGTCAAAGCAAGTTTTGCTTGTGCCCTAGTGGGTATGAAGTAGCAAGTCCTAGAGTGGTGACAGCAATTCAATTGGGGTGTGTACCTGTAACCATTTCTAAAAACTATACATTGCCATTTAGTGATGTTCTTGATTGGAGTAAGTTCTCGGTGAACATTCCGGTGGAAAAGATACCTGAGATTAAAACAATTTTGAAAAAGATATCGTTCAAAAGGTATCTGATAATGCAAAGGAGAGTTACACAGGTACAAAGACATTTCAAAATGAACCGACCAGCTCAGCCATATGATATGTTTCATATGATACTTCATTCGGTGTGGTTAAGGAGGCTTAATGTCAGGCTGCCATTTTGATTATTTGATATGATCAAAAGCTGTTCCCCCACATAGGCATCAAAACATTCTTTTATAGTACTAAAACCAGGCATATGTAATTTGATTGTTCTATGATGTAATAAATGCAAGTTTTTATTGTCACTTTATAGATATTTAGTTGAAAATAATGAAGTGGAAATCATAAAGAGTGCATTACAAAAAAACAGGTAAATAGCGACGAAAATATTTGTCGCTCAAGCTAATATTTCCATCGCTATTTAGGAATAGCAACGGAACAACGATGAAAATAAACTATTGATAAAGTCCTTGTCGCTAAGTTTGTTGGCGACGGATTATCTAGTCCGTTGCTAACTAGCGACGAATATTTTGTCTCTATTTTGAGGTATTTTTGTTGCTATTTCATTGTAGACATTCATACAAATGATTTGAATTATGTCGCTAAATAGAGATGGAAATCCATCACTAAATGAATTTCAGTTGCTATCCATCGTTGACATACGTCACTAATTTTCATTGCTACGGTAAGTTTCCATCGCAAATAGTTAAATTTAAATATTTTTTTGTTGTTAGGATGTCGCTAAATTTAAGTTTTTTTAAACAAAAATTATTAATATGCTTTTAGATATTTCGTCGTATTAGACAACAACTAAAATGAAAAGCATAACACAAAATATTGTTAAATAATATTATATAAATATAAAATTAAATGTCATATATATAGCAATACAATCCGGTATATTAAAAATAAAACCTAGTCTTCATCAAAGTCATTTATTGCTTAATTCATCATCTGGATGCTGGGTATCGAAGGAAAATTGAACTATAGTTGTTCTCCACCTACTCGATCCGTCGAGCATATTCAGTTTTTTTTATGATTATACAATAGGAATGACTACCCTCATTATATAGCCGAATAGGTCCATTAGACCTTCAATAAATAAAATAAAGCAAAATATTGCAACTTTGATTGTGTAAAAAATATTTTAAAAAAAAATTCATTAGGGATCACTTTAAAATATTCAAGAATATTAAGATTGATTTGGAAAAGTAAATATTTAAAGTAAAAAAGAAAAATAAAAAACCAAAAAATAATATGGAAGCCATGGTAACAACCAAGATCGAACTTTGCAAGTTGCCTTTTGCCATGACTTCATAAATAAAACCTTTCAAAAGCTTTAAGATATATAAATAAACTTATAAAGAAGGAAATAAAAAATTACGATGAAGAAAAAATGGAGTAAGAATTCCAACAAGAAATTGAAAAAAAAAGTCTACAAATTATTACGATATAAAAAATATCATTCAAGTCTCACATTTAGATAGTTTGTATAAGTAATTATTATGGACCACCAGCCATAAGGTGTAGAGTCTCTTTTCTTAAAAAAAAGAAAAGAAAAAAAAACTATTAAACTATTGGTGTGACCTGATTCAACTAGTCTCGATTCACAAAGGATTAATCGTAAAAGTCCAAAAAACAAGATGGATGGTCGTCGATTCAAAAAAAATATGACGCAAGCTATGTTGGAGTAAATTATAAATTAGTCCTTTATTTTTAAGAAATAAATCAGTTAATCCTTTTTGTTTAAAAAATATTATTTAATTCTTTAATTAATATAGATCATGCTTAACTTAATATTATTTTTATTTCATAAAATCTCTTATTTCTCACCATTCTTTTCATTTTTTTCTATTTCTTAAAACAAAAAATTAAAATCAATTAAAAGGGAGAAAAAAATTAAATTACAAGTAGATTTAAAAAATGAGGACTAAATAATTAATGTTTAAAATAAGAGAGATTAATTAATTGGTTTCTAAACATATGAGAGACTAATTTATAATTTACTCGGATGGTCTCAAGTTGTGATGGACTCGTCATGGGATTTAAAGAGTTAATTATAAATTAGTCCCTATTGTTTGGAGAAACAAATTAATTAATCCCTCTAAGTTTTAAAAACTAATTATTTAGTTTTTTTTGTAAGTTTAAATTCATTTTTATTTTTTTATTTTAAAAAATAGAAATAAACATAAAATAAATAAAAATATAAAAAGATTAATAAGAAAAAATATTTTATAAAATAAAAATATTAAATTAATCGTAATAAATATTGATTAAAAATATCAAATAATTATTTTTGAAATAAAAAAATTCATTCATTCATTTTTTTGGAACGAAAGGAGTAATTTATAATTTACTCCGGATTTAGAAGTATACACAACTTCTAGAAGGAAAAAAAAAAAAAAAACATTTTATTGAAGTCTTGTTCGTAAAGCGATGGGTAAGATGTGTAACCGTTTTATGATAAATCTAGTCAATTATTTTATGCTTCTACCTTCCCGGTGGGCTGGCTTGCTGGTGGCAGGCGGCCATGTAATCGCTGATAGCCGCCTTAATAATAATAATAATAAAAGATAAACAAAAAGGAACCTCTTCCTTTGGCGGTATATATAGTACTGTCACGTGGATGCATATTTTTATTTTTTCTTTTGTCAAGCTTTTTGTTTCTTTTTAATAGTTTTTATATGATAAATTAAATGTCAATTGTTTTAAAAATTAAGTTTTGAAGCAACCTCTTCGGCAATATTTTTTTCTTTTTCTTTTTTGGAAATAACTTTTAGAAGTCCTTTCTTCTAAACAAAATTCGATTTGTTTTATCTATATTTTCACTAGACTTACGTCTTTTGCCACATGGACCTAGTTTGTGATCTTCGGCTTCTTCTTTTTTTTTTTTAAAAAAAAAACAAGATTAAACTCGCAAATGCAAAATAAAATTCATAATTCTTTAATAATAAATAAATTCGATATATTGTAAAAATAAAAAATAAAATAGAGTCTGTTTCCAGCTTAACTTCGATTAGTGGTACGGTTAAAAACGTTTTGCATTGGTTGTGAATTTTTTAATTTAAATTTTATGATTAGTATTCGTAAAAATTTATTAAATCTCTACTAGACCAGTGTAAGAGGTGTCTTAAAATCATTTAGAGAAAGATTTAATCTGATCTAAATATACTTAATATCAACAACAAAAAAAAAAAAGATTCTAAGCTTATTGTTAGTGGAGCGTCCAAAAAGGTATTGACACACAATCAAATACCTAGTAACTCTCAGTACCAAATAAAAGATGTAAATTATAAATTAGTTTTTTTCAAGAAATGAATTAATTAATTTTTTAAAACTAATTATTGATCCGTAGTGATCTGTTTAATTTAATATTATTTTTTATTTTAAAAAATATATTTTTTCTCATCAATCCTTACATAATTTTGACTTAATTTTTCCTTTTTCTATTTTTTTAAAGGATATTAATTAAATCCAACAAATAAGTTTTTAGATGATGTCTAGAATGTAAGTGGAAGAATTTTGAAGAAAAAAGTTAAAAATTTTTTTTTTTTGCCAATTTTTAAAAGTTGGATATTTTCTCACTATAATGTGAAGTTGGTATTTACAATGAATTGAAGATAATCATGTTATTCGTTCATTTTTTGATGGTTAGATTTAAATTGAAAAATATAATTGAATTCTTTTGATTTAAATTAGTTCAACTTACTATTAAATATTAAAAAATATAACAATCAAACTTTTTTTTTCAACCGATATTACTCTGAGTCTACCAAATTAATATCCTTAATGCATTCTAAATATAAGATATGATAACAACTGTGTTCATCCGGTTTGACTATGCATTAGAGACACGATTTCAGATGGGGCCGCAGATGCCCCACCTTTGCCGCAGTGTGAGGTGTGATCGTCCGGCCAGTGGTTCACCTGTCAGCGCAAGCGATGAATGCTTCTCGACAGGCAGAGACAATAACGTTGCGATCATCAGGCGCAACAGATGATTTTGGTTGCGCCCAACATGGCAAATTCTTTACACATTCTATCGAACTTCTTACATGGTCATAGGCTCGACTAGGAAGATACAGGCATCCAAAACAGGCAGGAGATGAGAAGAAACTGGGGGGCGTGTTTTACGTATATGAATGATGATTACTAGCATTAGCATGTAAAAATACTATCCGTAAGCTGTTTATGAGTCATAGCAATTCAAGAGCAATGCTAAACACGTTATAAGACTGATTGCTCATGTTTGCATTGCGCTGTCCCATTAGGTAAAAAGACACTTAATTGATCCCAAGTTGCAAGCATATATTAAATTGGGTTTCATCCAAAAAACTTAAGTCTTATGATGGATGTGATCCTTGAATTTCTTTAAAGCTCGATACCGTATAGAGTTAGATAGTTGAGATTAGATCATATCCAAAAAATTTAAATCTTGTGATGAGTGACTCATTCTCAACTTTATATATTATTTATTATTGGTTTAATTATTTAATGTGTGATATGTTAACATTTAGCAATTTTCTTCTTCTTCCAATTGCAGTTACCCATCATTGCCAAACTGAAATTTCAAATTTTTGTCATTAGCACGAGATTGGCATTAAAGGCTGTAGCAAATTAATACCAATAACCCACCCACCTGACGCATTCAAACTTGCAATACCTATGTTTCTTCTTGTTTAGCAAAGCACAATCTCTTTTATATATAGCCTGCATACGACTAATTCAACACTTCTTGGTCAACACAGTTACACGTAGGCCTTAGAAACCCCACCAAAACTCCTAGATTTTCCAAGAGTCAAATTAAGTCCAAGCATACAATACTGCTCTTTTTTTTTTTTTTACTGGCGTATCAAAACGCTTCAACAATTATCAATAATATAATTATAATATTACTTGTAATGACTAACTAAAAATTGTTCTAGAATACAAATTATAAATTAAAGTTTTGATAATTTACCTTACAAGTAGAAGTAGCTGAAAAATTACTAAAGTGATTATTGACAATGCTATGGACTCCATAATTTTATATATAAATAATTAATATCACAATTCATACAAAAACTAATTATTTATCCATATTAAATAATTTTAACCAAAAAATGATTTATCAAGTTTTAAATCTTAAGTTCAAATAATCCGATATTATGTAAATTTTAAATTAACTCTTTAATTTAAAATTTAATGTGCTATTTTAAATCAAATAACTTAATCATCAAATGACTCTACCTATATTTTTAATCCTTGTATAGCCAATTACATATTTAAAATTTTATCCTAGTTTATCAACACTCAAACCTAATTAATTCAAAACAATTCTAATAAATTAAAAATATACACAATTAATTTTCAAATAACATAAATTGAGTTTCTTAATATATTTACAAATAATTAATTATATATGTACAAATAGGTAAAATTTCAAACACCTAAAAAATAATAAAATCAAAAGTAATACACAAAACTCAAATAAATTAAATATAAAATAGAATAGAATAAAGAGATATACATAATCGGACTTTGCTTTCGGTAGAGAAAGAGAGACACACATAAGGCAAAGCACACCTAAAATAAAGGAGATACCTCGGCTATTTTTGGGAAAAAAAATCGATTAGAGTGGCTAGAGATGAAAGTGGTAAGAGAGGAGAGGGAAGAAGGAAGAAAAAAATGAGAAAGAAAGAGGAATCTGTCAATTTAAGGATTTAATTTTAACAATGGATGCAATTCCATCACTAATCCGTTGATTTTGAATTTCAATAACCAAAAAATAACGACTGATTAATCCAATCCATCTTGCTAATTTTGGTCGGAAGTAGCGACGGAACTAATTCCATCGCTAAATAGCAAGGGAATATTCCCTCGCTAACCGTTACATAAAAATTACCGATTAATTGATGTATCCATCACCGAATTTTATCACGAAACCATCGTTGAATCAACCGTGAATATTTTATTGTCATATTTAACAACGGACAACGATGGACATTGTCCATTGTTGGATACCCGTCAAAACATGGCAAGTAGTCCGTCGCTAAATCCGATATTCAACAATCGTTCGCCGATCCCTCGTTATTTAACTACAAATTTTGAATGCATCACTGAGATTCGTCGCTATTTGTCAACTTTTTTATAATAGTGGAAATGAAATTTTTCTTCAAAATAATGATATATTATTTTTATATATTATATATCAACTATTTCTACCACTATCACCACTCCCATTGACAACGGTGATACATAATTATTTTCAAAAACTATTATTACTATTATTATTATTATTATTATTCTTTCAACACTTCTTCTCAACCATTATCATTGCTCTTATTATGTCACCACCTCTATATATTAGCAGCGGTGTTTAAAAATATAAATACCCGACATCAAACGAGACTCTCGAAAATATAATCTAATCTACAGAGTTAGATATTATTTATAAATTTATTTACAAGTTCGGAGTCGTCACCTAGTATTAAGGAACTAGGAACCTAAAAGTAGCACTAGTTCGGAGATTCTCGAGTAAGAAATTGGTTATGCTTTGGGAAGATATCGATCACCTAAATGTGCCATTTCCAAGAAAAGGTATGATATCTAATTTAGTCCTAAATTCATCTACTACAAGGTTTTATTTATGCTAAATTATTTTTCAATTTTAAACTCTAATTTTTTTAAAGCCAAATTAATTTTTTTGGTTTTGGGTGTGACATCGTATTGAAACGATTGTCGGTCCCTTTCATCGAGCAACATGTCGATTCAAACATCGGATCTACTTTAAGTCTCAAAATAACAAGTGTATCGAAGAACCATCCCGATTATTAAATTATGATTTTCTTTTGTAACGTCAATCCTTATCAAATAGGAGACTTCATCAAGAATTATTTTAAATGACGAGTCTCTATTAGATAAGAGACTTCATTGAGAATTTTATTTTTATTTTTATTTTATTTTTGTATTGATAAAGAATCATCATCGGTCCCTAAAAATTAGGAGACTCGATGATTCAACTATCTTTTAATTGTCTAAACTAATTACGAAATAAAAAAATCCTAAAATTTTAACTAACTAAAATCAACTAAAATAAATTTCAAGAAATTAAACGTATTGAAATCATCTTCTCGTCCCTAATAAATAGGAGACTCGATGATCACATATTCTCACCATATCACAATCATATATTAACATAAGTTTCACATCCTAAGTATCTCTAGGTTTTCTAACATGTATAAAACTAAAAATTATTACAAAACCACATAAAAATAACAAAAATAGGGAAAAAGAAAACCGAATAGTCATTGGAAATGACCAAAATGCACTCGCACTGTAAAATTATAAAAACGCCCCTAGAATGCTAAGTAATCATTCGTCTTTCGATGATCCTCCGGGCGTGTGGACCACCTCGCCTTGTAAAGGAGATTGCAATGAGTTCTACGATGGTGGTGGCCTTCGGTAAAAACTTCGGAGGAGGGAGATTGGAGCCTCCAAAGTTTCGATCGGATCTCCCTTTCTCACCGACGATGATCCCGACTTCCTTTCGAGACTTCAAGCACACCGATCGACTCGAAGAGGTCGAGAGAAGGATTTCTATGGTTAAGAGCTCCAATTCCTTCTACATTGATCAATTTTTTCGGATTTATCAAAATGGATCGAAAACGGATCTCGTTCAATTAAACGATTTTTCATTGTCTTTGGATCGGGATTGTTAAATGGAAATACTCGAAGGAGATGCGCGATCGGATCGGTGGTGGTAGATCTCGTGTTGGTGATCGGAGTTTAGAGAAATGGTCGGGTCTCTTTTCGAGTCGAGTCACGAACGTTTGATCTTTGATTTCTCTCTTCTCTCGTGATTGGTTCTCTCTCAATCGGCGTTGATGGACCAATCTAATGATGGGCTACATGTGGGTGTGTTTATTGGGTTCAAAACCGACGGGAAAATGATCGATTGAGGCATAAATCTTTCGACCGGGTAAACGAGTTAATGGGTTTGGATTTTGGGTCGGGGCATGTTTGGCAATTTCCAATTCGGTTTTCAATATATTTTTTGTGTATGTCTTTTCCTTGACTCTCTAGTCGCCTTTTCGTGCCCCTTTGCAAACCGGACCCCAAAAGTTTTTTATATGCCAAAACTCGTTGAAATCTCTCCCAAAATCAGTCCATTCAAATTCAAATTTCAACTCGTCAAATCTTAATTTTGATATTTGATTAACTAAAAAAAAGGAGATTTAAATTCAAAAAAAAAATTAGTGGAAGATTTTCACGGATCTTCGAATGATTTTAGGAAGATTTCGCTTTTTTTATATATTTTCCTTTTTTGTATTTTTTTTTTTGTATTTTGAATTTTATATATACTTTTTTTTTGTATTTTTTGATTTTGTTTATTTTTATTTTTTGTAATGAATTTTAAAATAAAGTAAATGAGATGAGTATAATAAAATAAATGAGAAATAGTTAAAATAACAAAAATACATGAAAATTCTAGGTTATGACAAAAAAATTAAAAATTATTATTATTATTATGCCACCATTCATTCTCCACCATCACCAACAACATTTTTTTCAACTACCATCTCTTGTGGTGATAATATCAATTTTTAAAAAATATATTATTAATATACTGTGATTAATATCACCTTTACTTCCTTCTCCTTTTGCTCTACCATTATCACAATCATTTTTATCATTTTTACTATTATTATAATTAATAAAATTATTTTTTTCATTTTAAAAATCGGATATTAAAAAATTTAAACTTCATTTTGATATCTTATTATTATTTCAAACACAATATGAAAATATAAATATTATTTTGATTTTATAATTTTTATTTCGATTTTTGTATTTTTATTATGAATCTTTCATTTTTATAACTAAATTATACCTAATATTTCTTTTAATTTTTTAGAAAGTTCATTG